CAACTGCTAGCACAAAGGTTTTCTATCTATGCCAAGCAAAAGGAGGCGTTTTTTGTCAGCACTATGATCTCTTCATTTTATAGCTAAAAAAGTGATGCCGGAGAGGGGCTGTGATCACAAAGATGAGATAAGGCAGAGCTGGGGTGGATCACAGTTCCCGGTGCCTGCAGCCTCTGACCCCTCTGCATGCAGCATGATTATGTCCTGAAAGACGATCTTGAGGGCAGAGGCTATCTTATCTTCCGCTCATCGGTCTCCCCTCTGCCCAGAGGACCAGCACAGCAGTGACGCTTAATGTGGGGGCCATGAACTAGTGCCATTCGGTGAACCTCACCATCTGTCCTCTAGAAGACACTTTGATAGTGACTTTCAGAGTCATTTTATGTCTATGGACACTAATAACAAAGATGGGCATGTAGTTGGCATTTCTCTTGAAAACATCCCTTTTTCTAATAATTCATTTTGATTGTACTTAAGTATTATTGTTTCTCAGCATAATTTTGGCTAAAATCAAGTGTAGAAGACAGTGGTTTGTGATGAACAGATGAAAACAGAGACCAATCTTTTGCAGATGATGTGAGATGCACTGCCTTAGCGCAGCACCTCCTCCCATTTCCTGGGCCCTTGCTTCGTACCTTTTGTTGGGCTTGCATCAGTGGGGACCTTCAGCTATACTGCCCATGGACAATGTGCAGCCTTAGCCATCCCCAAGAAAATGACCTCCAGTCTTCCTGTTCAAACCTACCCAGCCCAACTGCCTGCCCCGCTAGCCATCTTGACTGGGAAGCACCAAGTTCCTTGTCAGTAACTGTGAGTTGCCTTCCCTATGCTCACTGTGGACTGTCTGTCTACAATCGTGAGAGATAAGGTCTCTGTGGCCACAGGACTCCATGTGCTGACAGATAACAATGACACAAACAGATCTGCAAGGTGTGGGAGAATTGTCTGTATTCTGTCAATCTTGTTTTAAGAAAACGCTGATTGGCCAGGCAGGAAGTAGAGGCGGGGCGATGAGAACAGGAGAATGCTAGGAAGGAGGAAGCCCATTCCTCCCATTCCAGCCCAGACCACCAAGAGGCAAGACCTGCCTGGCTGAGAAAGGTACTGAGTCATGTGGCTAGCATAAATAAGAACAATGGGTTAATATAAGCTTCAAGAGCTAATAAGTAGCCTGAGCTAATGGGCCAATCAGCATTATAACTTATGGAGATCTGTGATTTTCTTTGGGGCTTGCTGGCTGTGGGGTATAGGGCAGGAAACAAACCCCAAGCAGCCTGGCCCTCATGTTACATCTGCAGGTGCCAAGTTAAGTGCCACGAGGAAGGCGAAGTAGGGTAACAGGATAAAGTGGCACTGGAGCAACTTTTACTAGGGTAGCTTGGGAAGTCCCTAAGACAGGACATTTGAGTAAGGCCTGAAGATGGGGTGGCCATCCTTTGGAGACAACGAGGGCTTAGTTTTTCTGAAGAAGACTGACATCCAGGGAGAGCAGTGACATGAAGCTGCAGAGCTCTAGATGATAAAGGGCTTTTAAGGCTCTGGTAAGGAGTCTGGCATTTGTTGTTACTTCAATGGTGGGGTCAAAGTTGTTTTGTTTTGTTGTTTTTTTAGTAGGAAACTGTTTTTTAAAGTTGTTTGCTTTTTTTTTTTTTTTTCCAGACAGGGTTTCTCTGTATAGCCCTGGCTGTCCTGGAACTTACTCTGTGAATTAGGCCAGCCTCGAATCTGCCTCCTGACTGCTAGGATTAAAGGCATGTGCCACCACTGTCTGGCTGGGACATGACATATTAAGGGCAATAATCCCTTTGGCTGTGACTTGGTGGAGGCTTGAGGGGACAGGAATAAACTGTGAAAATAGTCTTCTCAGGGCAGTACATGAGAAATGATGGGGCCAGGGACAACCAACAGGACTTATTAAAGTACTGTCCATGGAATGGAAGAGAAAAGAGTTCAGGATGACTTAAGCTTTGGATCTGAAAATCAAGACAATGACGGTACTACCATTTAAGTAATTTTAACACTGACGTTAACAGTTGAAGTTCGGGAAACAAGAGAAGCTGAGAAAGCAGGATGATGGGGGGGCAATTATTCCTTTGAAATTTTTAGTCACTATAGCATGCAAGAAATCGGATGAGCTCTAGAGATAGCTAGGAGGCTTGTTTTTCTTTTAATGAATGAGATGAAGGCACATTTTCACACTGGTGCACATGAGCATCTAGGGAAGGAGAAAGAAGTAAGGCAGGAGAGGAAGGCATGAATTGGGGAGCAGAGTTCTTGAGAAAGAAGAACCAGAGCCCCTGAAGGGCTGGTCTCAGGAAGTGCTTCAGTACTGGAGGAGGGAAGGCATCGCTCTGCAGCCAGGCAGGTGGGAAGATGGCAGCAGTGAGGAAGTTCCCTTCTGACTACAGGACCTTCTTTGTGAAATAGGAGAAGAAAACAACTTGGGAGTTCATAAGGGAGGGCCTAGAGATCAGAGGAGAGAAAAAAAGGACTGAGGAGCTGTCTTGGTGCCCCATCCCGCACCATGCGAGATTTATGGTCATATATGTGGAGTGAGTTCAGGATGTGCAGGACTCACAGAGAGAAAAGCAAAAGCATGGAAGGGTACAGTTACCCTGGAAGTTCCTGCCTGTTCTCGTCCAGTCACCCCGACGGTCTCTAGGTCACCCTCCGCTACAGAGAAAGTCCAGGCTAGCCTGAACACATTAGGTTGCATCTCAAAACCATCTAAGCAACCAAACCCATACTTCCCAAAACCTCTCATGTTTCTCCTGAAAATGTCATTGTTTGCCCTAGAGGGAACTTCCTTAGCACAACCCTTCAGCAGCCAGTTCTTGCTTTCCATTCTCGACCAGACACCAGGGCCCCCACCCTTCTGAACTACCTGCGTGCTGTGGAGAGTGGACTACGCCTCATCTTCCATGCTTTGAACACAGGCCCCCTCTAGTTACTGCCCTTGCCAGCCTGGGGACCGCACATCTACCCTTGCAGAGAAAATACCATCTCCTAGACCAGGCTTTCCTTGCCTTATTGGAGACTCAGAAAGCTCTGTTTGTGGCATGGTTTTGTTGTACAGCCAGAGAATCTTTGAACTCGATATGTAGCCCGGCTGCTCACACTTACGATTCTATTGCCTCCAGGTGCTGTGATTACAGGTGTGTCTTACTACAACCCCTCATCTTTTTTAGGCAGGGTCTCATATATCATATAGCCCAGGCTGGCCTCAAACTCTGGACCCTCCTGTCTCTATCTCCTGAGTGCTGGGATGACAACAGGTATCTACAACACGAGCTTAAGATCCCTGTGACCACAGCACATTCTCTAGATCTCCACTATCACATCAGAGTCACAGCTTTTATTTTTATTTATTTTTTTGATTTTTCGAGACAGGGTTTCTCTGTAGCTTTGGAGCCTATCCTGGAACTAGCTCTTGTAGACCAGGCTGGTCTCGAACTCACTGAGATCCACTTGCCTATGCCTCCCGAGTGCTGGGATTAAAGGTGTGTGCTACCATCACCAGCTCAGAGTCATTGTTAAATGTCTGTTTTTTTTTTGTTTGTTTGTTTTTTTTTAAAATATTTATTTATTTATTTATTATATATACAATATTCTGTCTTGTGTATGTCTGCAGGCCAGAAGAGGGCACCAGACCTCATTACAGATAGTTGTGAGCCATCATGTGGTTGCCGGGAATTGAACTCAGGACCTTTGGAAGAGCAGGCAATGCTCTTAACCACTGAGCCATCTCTCCAGCCCCTGTTTGTTTGTTTTTTTGTTTGCTTTTCGAGACAGGGTTTCTCTGTGGCTTTTGGAGCCTGTCCTGGAACTAGCTCTTGTAGACCAGGCTGGTCTCGAACTCGCAGAGATCCGCCTGCCTCTGCCTCCCAAGTGCTGGGATTAAAGGCGTGCGCCACCATCGCCCGGCAATGTCTGGTTTTCTTATAAACTGAGTTCCTTAATGCCAACACCCAGGTCTGGATCAGAGTTATTGGCCTGATGCCTAGGTCGAGACTTGTGACAGGAGAGGTGCTCAGCAAATGTCTCCCTCCCATTCCGGTCCTTTCTACATGCTCTGTCGTATCTTCCCACCACGATGGTCTAAAGCCTCGGAAACTGTGAGCAAAGTGAATTCTCTCTCTTTAATACTTATACTGGTATTTTGCCACAGCAATAAAAATTTAACTACTATAGCAAATGCTTGATAGATGTTAGAAGAGACTTAGCAGAGGCTGCACAGAACACCAGGGCTGGAGGAGGGTCCTGAGAGCAGCTGTGGTAGCTGCTCTGTTTTATGGACAGTGAGAAAGGGTTTGCACAAAGGAGAATTGTGGGTGGCAGAACCAGAACTTGTGATCATTGTCTGCACTGCTGGGTGTGAAGTTTCAACAGAGGGAAGACAGCCCCAGGCAAAGGAAGCTGCCAGCGCAACATCTGCTCGTGTAGACAGATGGACAGACAGTGAAGTGGAACAAGAAACAGAACGCCGAGTTTTGGTCCTGACGATGGGTTAACCACAGGCTGCTGCAGGAGGATGTCAGCACTGGAAAGGCTCTTTGCCTCAGGATGCTGGCAGGTTAACACCAACGATCCAGCCAGGCACTCAGAGAAGGGGTCAAAGAGGAACATTGAAAGTGGGAAGGAAAGGCTGAGGGAGGCCTGGGGAGGATGGATTAGATTTCTGAAGGGCCAGGCATTCTGAGGTAAGGAGCACTGTGGTGAAACAGGGAGGAGCAGTGGGAAGAAGAGACAGAGAGGCAGCAGGACACTAAGAACGGGTGGGTCAGGAAGCCATGCAGGGCTTTCAGAGATTTGTTAGTGCATCCAAAAATATACACACGGTAGTGTGCCAGTGTGTAGGTAAAGAGGTGGAGGTGAAAAGCTAGGTAGACTCTTGGTGTGCACTCTACCTTAGTTTAGTAAGTGATGCTGTGCTCTAGTCCCAGGGACAGGGAGGATGGAAGCAGAACTGGGGATTGGCTGGTAGAAAGAAACGCACCCACCTGAGAAGGCCCCAATGGGACACAGGGCAGAAGGAGCTGCACAAGTAGAGGGAGGCGGGAACGTGGGGTGGGTGCTAGAGGCTGCAGGAAGAACAGCTAAGTGTCAGGCTGATACAAACGGTATTATCACCTCTCCCAAGAGTGTCACTGGTATACAGTGAACCTCAGGGCTTTAGGGCTTATTTCTCTGAAGGAACTAAGTCAAAGCCCCACGATTAGAGGTGTGCTTCAGGCAGACAGGTGCCCATGGGAGCGCATTCCTGTGAGCTCACCAGCTTTGGGTGTGCTGGGATGCGTCTATGGGACTTCGCTGCTGGTCACAGTGCCCACCTGCCCTCCTCCATCTTTCTGTGTACTTGAAAGTGTGGCAGCACAACCTTCCTGTTCTAAGTAAACAACACCCCGAGGCAGCAGCACCAAGGATGAGAACATACTGTCAGTATACTTCTTGTAGGATAGAAAAACTGCCACCAGTTAATTTAAATCCTACAAGAGAACTGTCTCCCCATTGCTCTTGCTGGAAAGGGGATCACCCACTCCTCCAGGAGTCTTTCTGTAACGTGTTCCACCTCCCTGCTCGGTGACAAGAAGGCATTTCCTCTTTCATGTACACAGTGCCCCTTATTCAACATCCCTCTGCCATGGTCACACATCTGTCAGCATCAGAGTCTTAGGGTCAGAGATGGTGTGCCTGACCCTTAAGATGTCCCGAGGTCCATGATCTCAGAGATAGCAAATAGTTCAACATGGGATGTAACAGAGACACGCTTTAAAGTCAAGTCCGTCTCCAAAGCATGTACCTTTTCACGGTGATGGGGTCACTGGAAAATGATCCTGAGCGTCTGTGGTGAGCTCTCGGATAACACGGCACAGTTCATAGGAGGAAGGAGGTACCCAAACAGGTGGACAAGCAGAAAAGGCTTCCCAAGAGATGGGGTGAGAAGTGAGGAAAGGCAACAGCACTCTAGGCCGCGGGGACGGTGCAGGCAGAGAAGCAGGAAGAGAAATGGAGTTACAGCTGCCCACCCAGAGTGTAACTATCTCAGTCGTCACGGTAACTGCTATGGATAATAGAAACATGTCTGTCAGCTTGGATCTGAGAATTCACTCAGCTACATAAAAACACTTTCATGTAGAGGCCATGAAAGCAGAGTGAAACGGAGGGAATGAAACAACCAGCGCGACAGCAGGAGGGAGAGAGAAATGATCAGGAGCACGATACACGAACCCCGTTATTACATACACTCGATACACCCCAATAAAAATGAAAAAAAGAGTAACTACTTGTCACAGAGCATCTACCATGTGTCTGCCAGGGACTTTACACCTGTTACTAATCTCCACACAGTCCTATGAAGGAGGTGTCATCTGATGAACCAACCAAGGATAACCTGTAGGTTACCGGAAGCTGGATCCCTACCCAGATTAGCTGATTCTGAAGCCCGGGGTGTGTTTTCTACTGCTCCATGCTGCCTCCTACAGGCTGGAAGTGTCTGCATCCTCAGCTTGATCCTCTTCACAGCTCAGAGAACAAGCAGCAAGAGTGGTTACTCCCTGTAGACCTTGTGAGCAGACAGTCTTTGTGCCTAGGCCTGCCTTGGGTCTTGCAGAAAGAACCTTCCTCTTTGCTACAGCAAAGCTGGTGGCCAGAGCACTCCGGTAAAGCTGATGGGCAGGAAGGCAGACCCTTCGGAAAAGGTCAGCAGAGGTCAAAGACTTTGGAAATGTTACAGACAAGAGCCCCTAGGACAAGAGAGCAGGATCCTGCCTCTTGGTTGGCTGGTCACACACACTGGTAGAGTAAGGGAGGTCAAGAAGGGGAGAGGGGTCAGAAATTGGCAGGCCTGCAGGCCCTGAGTGACAGCAACTTGTTCAGGTCTAGAAGGGAGGAACAAGCAGGCTAATGGCTTTGACCCGAGGCTGGGAAACTAGGGCAGGGTATAAATGATGACTCCTAAAGAGGCAGGTGGGAGAAATGCAGAGGTGGGGGCTCAGGGTATCCGTTCCAAGTCACCGGGCAGGAAAGCGTGTCCCTGGAACAGCTCAAAGGGCTAGCCTTGGCCTGGGGGGCAGGTGGACGGAGCCTCATAAAAGGCCCTCGCTTCTTCATTTCAAAGGTGTTCGATCTGCAAGCGGGTGCGAAGGCCCCTTGTAGAATGAACGCTGTCATCTGTCTGGGGGCTGGGGGAGCAGGGACAGGAACCAGGAGACAATGACTGGGCGCACGGATTAGAAGGCACAGGAGAGAGAAGCCCCACACGCACGTTCTGATGCTTAGCTGCAATGTCTCACCAGAGAGCTTTCCAAAGGACAGAGTCACCCTACTCTACCTGGCAGAGCAGGTTTCCAGGTACACTTACAGACCAAGGCACGCTTTAGGGCTGGCCCCTTGAAGGGTGAGGGCACGGGCAAGGCCTGGTTATGAAACCAGTGTGCTTATGGCTTGACAGGAGGTGGCAAGGCTGGGTTCCTGGGAAGTGTCCCAAATCAAGGACATGACATGGGCTGGAAGATCATTGGGATCCTGGACCTGGAAGGCACAGGCTAGGGAACAGGATGAACTTCCTGTGAAGGCTGACTGGAAAAAATGGTAGGAAATACAAAGTGACCACAGCTCACTAAAAAGGTGTTCCCATGGAGCTGACTACCTGAGGAAGGAGTGGGATCCCTCAGACTACCAATCTTGAAGAGATTTCTTCTGTGAGGGACTCAAAGGATGGTCTAGTTCTTTTGGTCCCCATGGAGAAGGAAGGAGGACCTGAGGTTCTAGCCCAAGAATGGGTCTGGCCTTCAGAAAGTAGTAGGGAGTGAATGAATAGCATTCTCATGCCGGGATCGGGGTCCTCCACACGCTGGCTCTAATCTCATGCCATTACCTCACCCGGGATCCAGGTCCTCCACATGCTGGCTCTAATCTTTCAGAAGCTGGATAGGGATAAGGGGAACTAAGAAGGAAATGGCCATATGAAGGTGTCTGGCAGTGAACTCTGTACCAGATTTGGAAAGAACCAGCCCAGCCAGAGTCTGGAGCATTCTATTTCTGTAATGAAACTGATGTTCTTGAAAGGGAAGCCATTCATTGTTCAGCAGATAGTTACAGAACGCTCACTACATGGCATAAACTATGTTGGTCCTAAGGATACTTAGTAAGTCAATACAGTCTATACTCGAAGGGGCAAGTCAAATGAGAAGCCTTCTGCTTTGGTATTGTTGCTAGCTTTGGAGACAGGCTTAGTTATAGACCTCAGATTAGCCTGGAATTCACTATGAAGCCCAGGCTGCCTCAAACTTAAGATCCCTGTCCCAGCCCCTGACTACAAGTGTGAGTGTGAACAGGACACCATGGCTCAGAGTAACAGACCTACGTGAGACTGCAGTGAGGCTGAGATCACAGCAACTCTGTGACACAGGTTAGTAGGGTTTTGTTCTCCTGGTCCTGCTCTGGAAGTCACAAGAGAACAAGTTGACACTTTTGGGAAGAGCCATCAATGAAGAAAACTCTCACAGTGGGGCTGAAGAAACAGCTTAGCAATGAGGACCCAAGTTCAGTTCCTAGTGCCCATGCTGCTTTTGTAATTCCAGCTCCAGGAAGATCCAATGCCACTCAGCTCTGAGGACACCTGGACACAGGTGCACACACCTACTCCCCCACATAATTTAAAAAAACAGTCACAACTTATCACAGACAGGGTGGAGGACAACCCCTTCCCTGCCCCCAATACACACATGGTCACTGTTATTCTTCGGATTAGCTCAAGGAGAGTAACAGGATCACTTTCCCCTGCCAGCCACAGCCACAGCTCTCACCTCCATCTAGTAGCTCCTTGACAATGCGGTAGTCGTCGGCCAGGACAGCATAGTGCAGAGCTGTGCAGCCCTTGAAGCTAGCACGGTTGTTTAGCCGGTTGTTGAAGTCATCCTCTCGAGTGACTAGGACTGAGGGACCAAAAACAAAACAAGATAAAACAAAAAAACCAACAAGCAAAAAGACCAACCAAACAACAACAAAAAACCCCACAAACCTCCATTAGCAACAAATTAATCTGTACATGCTCATGATTTTTGTCTACTTTCCCTACCCACTTCTCCCTTTAGGTGGGTGGGTAGGTAGGTAGGTAGGTAGGTAGGTGGGTAGGTAGGTGTGTGTGTGTGCGCACACCTGCTTGCTTACAGGGTCTCACTATGAAGAGTAGACTGGCCCAGACTCTCAGTGTGGGAATAGAGTATGTACCATCCTTTGGCTCTCTGGCCATTTTGTTTTTCCCTGAGACAGGGTCTCATTATGTGTCCCAGAATGGTCCTCAACTCGCAGTGCTACTCCTGCCTCTATCTCCCACGTGCTGGGATTCCAGGTGTGAGTCATGTGTCCAGCTTCATTTGCTTTTTGATTTCCTCATGTTTTTGAGGTAACATTTCTTTGTGTACCTCAGGCTGGTCCTCTTGTTTCAGCTGCTTGAGTGCCTGGCTCTTCAATATTTTATCTATGAACTTGTAAACATTAAGTAGCATCTACACTGTGTGCCTGGCCATCTGGGCTGGGCAAGAGGAGGTAAAACAGCCTGGTTTGTTTCATAAATATGGTCCCTGACCTCAGCTGACTGAAGAGGCAGATGATAAACAGACTGTAGAGTGCTGCAGATAAATCCTATGCTGGGGTAAAATGAGAGGACACAGAAAGCCAGGGCAAATGGAGGGAGGGGGGGGGGAGGGAGGGAGGAAGAGAGAGAGAGAGAGAGAGAGAGAATAAAGAAGGTGGAGGGTGGGATGGCGAGAACAGGGAAGGGGTGGCGGGAACAGGGAAAGGCAAGAGGATGTTTGAGGCAGAAGAGTCACACACCTCTACTGCTTACAATTCAGTAAGTAACTTAAAGCTTAAAATTTGATTTACCAAATCAAGTAAAAATTGAAACTACAGAAGGAAACAAAGAAGAAAAAGGGCCTCATATCTCAGTGACCTGAGAAGGAGCAAGCACATCTGGTCTAGCTCGTCATGGATTGCACACGGTGCCTGAGTGTGTGTTCCCTACCAAGTCGGAATTTACCGTACCTCTCATTTGCTTTTTGGTCTGTTTTGGTAGTGCTGAGTGTTGAACCTGGAGTTGACCACATCCTTGCGCACGACAGACAGAGTTCTACCAATAAGCTCCATCCTAGTTCTGCAATCTGATTTCCTACCCTTCAAAACTCTCTATAAACATCCTCTGGACACTAAGGACAGACCTGTCATGGGAGCTGAGCGTGCAAACCCTCAGGCACTATTCATGTGCCCTCTTTTCTCTCTCCTGTCTTATTAAAATAAAACCTGAAACTGTTCTCACTTTCTAAGACCTCTGGGTGGGTGGATATACACATATCTACTTATGAGACTGGTTCTGGCTTACGTTGTTACCCAGACACCTTTAGATCAGCTAATAAACTAGAAGTTCAACCCCCGGGAAGCAAGGCTGCACAGAGCAGCTTGTTTCCCTCATCTGGAAACTACCCCAGAACCCAATTTTCCTTAATGCTATCTCCTAGCTCATTTTGTTGGGAGTAGAATCGAGGATCCAGGATCTGCCTGCCTGTGCCAGTTCTCTCCTGTCCCCTGACACTAATCCTGTAAAGGGCAGGCTCCTGCTGCCTGGAGGGATAAAAGGTCACGTACAAGGCAAAAAGTGACATTGCCTAGATAGCAGCACCAAGCAATTATTCCTACGTCACTCTTTCTGAGTGTTTTCAGAATCAACTGAAAGTGTGTTCCCTCTTGGAATACTGAAGACACTATCTAAATACAGATCTAAAAGCAAAAATGTCCAGTCTCAGTTTTTAGACAAGAACGTGGGAGCTCACTCACTTGGCTAGTCAATGGTGTGTGAGGAGCGCAGAGGTGAGGTGGAAGGTGTGTGAGGAGCGCAAAGGTGAGGTGGAAGGGCTGCCTGAGTCTAGCAGTCAGAATCACCAGCGGTCAGAACCAGAACCAGGGTGAGTCGCATTCTCCCCTCACAGCGCCAATGAAAGAATCCAGCACAGAGAAAGCCGAGCCTGGAGGCTATACCAGCCTTAGACTCTTGCATTCTCTCCTTTTCTTGTTCTGGCAACACAGTAAGACATTCGGTGGAAGCTGGCATTACCATGTGATAGCCTGAGGTGTGTAGCCGCACCCTAACAAGCCAGCATGAGTGGAAACACTTCAAACCTTTGGCCAAAATGAAGATGGTGGAGCTCAGAGCTGGAGACCAGACCACACTACTGACCCCAGCAGTATAATGTGACTTTCTCCTGGGCATCAGAAACAGGCAGCAAGAAAGTGTCTGAGCAGCTAGGGTTAGATCAGCCTCTGGGCACACAAGGGGCCTCTGAATTAGCCTAGCCTCTGGGCACACGTGAGGGGTTATCTAGATTAGCCTGGTCTCTGGGCACACCTGAGGGGTTACCTATATTAGCAAGGCCTCTGTGTGTGTGTGTGTGTGTGTGTGTGTGTGTGTGTGTGTGTGTATGTGATGTATCTATGCTTTTCCTGTGTGAGCCCTTTAGGAGATCAATGAGAGGAACCAGCCCTTAGTCAAAAATCCCACTAGTTACTTTTAGTTACCCCATCATAGTGGGGATCTTGTTTCTAGCCCGCTGCAGGTTAGGAGAAGGAAATAAGGCTGGGTGGACACTTCCGAGGCAAGCAGATTGATCACAATCAAATGCTGGCCAGGCAGGGAGGGAAAAGAACAGGACAATGAAAAGCTGAAAAAGCATTCCAAGCCCAGCACCTCAAAAGGCCCTAAGGGCATCTCTGAACTGCCACACAGGACATTAACTGCTGGATATAATGATAAACCTGAAGAAAAGTGATAGTTGGCTCAAGAAAGCAAGAAGGGTATAATCCATTTTACAAAGAAACCCCATCACTCATTGGGCAAACAAGTGTAATGAGTGCCCGTGCACAGCGGTAGCTTCTGCAGATGCAATCACGAATGAATAGGGCGATTTCTGACTTTACGAATTAACTGTCTGATTTGAGAATCAAATCAATAATGTGTCTTCACAAGTGTGACAAAGCTATGCATGCAGGGTGCTCATCACAAAGGGCAGGTGACTTCAGCAGAGAACCAGCATCACAGCCCGTGAGAGCCCTGTTCCTCAAGTGTCCTGCTCCTCTGTGGTCTCCCTCTCACCCCTGCCTTCCTAATGCTCGTTCTTATCTTGGAACTTCTGACCCAGCTGGACGACCCATCCTGAACAGTCAGTTGGCCAGGTGATCCTGCCTGAATTGAGGCAGGTATTGTCCCAGAGACATTTCACAGTAACCACCTGCTGTGTGGCTGGGCTTGCCTACCAGCTGGAGACGAGAGTCCCTACTTTCTTCACCAGTACACTCTGGGCTAAAGACAGCACAGCAGAGCTGAGCTGTAAACGCCTGACAAATGCTTGTTGAAGCAGCAAGTAGAAATAAACTGAGTGCTTCTTTTATGAAAATCAAAGATGTAAAATACCCCAAAATCCAAAAAAAATTTTTTTTTATTCCAAATCCTTTTTCAGTGCTGACAACTTTCTGGGAAACAGAGGCAGAGGGTTACAAACTTGAAGCTATCCTAAACTACATACGACGACCTTGTATCAAAAAAATTCCTGATTTTAGGGCATGGAGTTTGTATTTTTGGATCAGGGGTGTTCAACTAATAAACTTTATACACAAACATTCCAAGTTTCAAACAAACTCCTAAATCTGATTTTCTTCTGGTGTCAAGCATTTTGGATTAAATATATTCAACATCTCACACAAATAAGGTCCAGATATTTCTGTTTGTGGAAAACAATAACAGTATCTATAAACAAATGTCTAGTGACCGCAGCACAGAATGGCTGGTAACTGAGCAGGCTCTGGAGCCAGACCACTGTTTGAATCCTGAATTTGCTGTGCACGTTCACATGGTTTGCTTGACCTCTCTGTGCCAAACTCCTGTCTGTAAATGGAAAGAAAGAACAGGAGGCTCTTGCTGGGCTGCTCTAGGTATGGTAACACAGCATCTGGTTTCAGTGCCAGCCGAGACCCAGCCGTGACCCTTTTTATCTAGTCTCCCAGTAAGGCACAGGAGCAGGACATCTGCATAGTGTCACCTGGCAGTGTCTACTTAGTGTTGCGTCATGCTGGTGTTCTCCAGAAAGATCACTCCAGAGCCGGGCGCTGGTGGCGCACACCTTTAACCCCAGCACTCGGGAGGGAGGCAGAAGCAGGAGGATCTCTGTGAGTTCAAGGCCAGCCTGGTCTACAAGAGCTAGTTCCAGAACAGGCTCCAAAGCTACAGAGAAAACCTGTCTCGAAAAACCAAAAAAAAAAAAAAAAAAAAAAAGAAAAAAACAAACCCCAAAAACCAAAAAAACAAATAAAATCCAAAATAACAAAAACAACACACACACACCCAAAGGTCATTTCAGAACTGCTGCCCCAGGAGCTGTAAGTTTATGCTCCCATTTTGTACGAAAGCCCTGGTGTTGAGAAGAATGACATTTGGTGGCAAGCAGGAATCTCCCATGCCAATTCTGCGTTTGGCATGAAGCTTTTTCTGCACTGTCCAGTGTTGGCAGCCTGAGGTCCTTAGCCCATGCCTGGCCAGGTCTTTTTATCTCTGCTTCCAACTTGTAGGTAAAACGTAAGCTCTCAGCTACTGCTCTGGTGCCATGCCTACTGGTCTGCTGCACGCTTCTTACCAAGGAATCGCCCTCCCCCCAAACCCCCCACACACTGAAACTGTAAGCAAGTCCCCAATTAAATGGTGCTTTGTTTGTTTTTGCCTTGGTCATGGTGTTTCTTCATAGTAATAGAAAAGTAACTAAGACACAGCCCCACTACTAACTGCTAATAAGGCCCAATCCTGAGATCTCACTCTTCTTAAGCCACAAAAGATGATGAAGGTAGAAAGGGGGTGGAGAGAAGGAACAACACCCCACCCCCATCCCCTTGGCCT